TAAATTATCCTGCCTAGTGCTCTCCTAAATTCTGCTCCCAGTGCCTGTTCTAAATTCTAAAAATGTTGCCATTTCTAGATTTTGTTGCACTGTGTGTCACTAAATTCTAAACATTCTGCCTCATCAGCTCTGAAACCAGCCCTTACCATATATCATTTCATATTTATTCTGAATGTTCAACTTATAGTAATCTTTAATTAATTCCTAAAATTCTAAAGTGAAGAGGACACGTATTGAAGAAAGAAACTGAATACATAAAGAGGAAGAAAATTATTCTTCAAAGATATGTAGAGTTATTATTATGCAAATTAAACAGTTGTTTATAATTTTAACCTTTACTATAAGTTCCCCTTTCTGTTTCCCCAGCATTATGCAAATCAGATAATTTTAAAACTGAGGTTTTTGCATTGTAAGACAGTGTTTTTGTCCTCCACTTGGATGATGCCTTAGTTCTTGCCAGCTCTGATAATTTGTAATTATTCATTTTTGCGTTATTGCTGCTAACATTTGAATTTGTTGTAATGATAAAATTGCTGAGTCGGCTTAGATTAAAACTAAATTGTCTAGTCTTTGACTACTAGTCCACATTTTTAGTTTGAATTTGACTGTTCCTGTTTAATTGAATTACCACAAGCTGTTGTTGATTTTGTAATGATAAGAACATGCCTGTATGTCCTAAATTCTTTTTAAATAAAAGGTTTATTTATACCTTTATGTGACTTTTGTAGTTACTTTCAGACATAGCGATAATTTGCTTCATGTCTGTGAGAGGTTTTGGGTTATTTAACTTTTACCATATCAAGTAAAACACTGTTAAGAAATTGGAAAGTTAGGAGATAAAGCATGCAAAAACTAGTGGGAACATTGGTCTGTGTATTGAAATAGATTTCTAATTGTTAGAAAACATGTTTGAGAAAAAAAAAATCTTAGAAATTAAGGCAAAATGTCTGGGAAAGCTTCAAACTAAAAAGACGCATAACTATTTTGTTGTGTGTTGTTGCTACAAAAACATAAATGTTTTGTAGCTTTTAATATAGAATTATCCTAATACTGTTAAATAGTCAGTGTCATAAATTACATTCATTTTAAACTGTGAAATGTTATTAGATTGTGATTTTGATAGTGTTTTTTAAACAAATGTTATTGAAAAATAAATAAAATTTAATAGTGGTTATGTAAATCTATAACGACTAAGGGTATTTAACTACCTAATTTAATTATTTGTAAGTAACTGCTCACCTTTAAAAGTTATCTCTGCATATTAAAGCAAGTTATTGCCTTTCATTAATCCTTATTGTGGTCACAAGATACGGCACAATAATGTAAAACTTATTCTTTGCATCTAGTGAGACTTAAAATAATACAACTTATCACCTCTGGTGCATTAGTGGCTTATAGGAACCTTAAAATATATTAACTGGGTTACAATCTCAGAAACTCTACATGAAGCTACAGCACTAACATCATCAGCTAGACGGAGCATAACTAACTTTCAGAACTTTGCAACCATGCCTACATCAGGCTTTCAGGTTTGTTCTGATTAACATATCTCTCTCTAGAGAAGCAGCAGCACTGGCAACAGCCAATCTTCTGTTATGAATCATGCTGATTATGATTTTATTCCTCCTTTTAATGCCATTGTCATAAAATATACTTGCTATTTACTAAACCTCTAGACTAAATATGTGGCAAAATGGGACATAAAAGAAAAATCAACATAAAGTTAACTGTTAGTAAAACGTAAATAAAATATCCCTAATCTTCTTTCAAATATGGCCAACTATTTATACAAGTATGTGTAAAATATTTAATGTTTGTTGATAAATTTTATAAAGTGGATTTTTATTCTCAAATTTGTTTTATAGTTATGTTTATTAAATTATGTTTAATAAGAATGCATCCTACTTACGGAACTATTTTATTTTTAGATATTACAAAAATGAAGTTCAGACATAAGTTGATTGACTTTATTCAGCTCCCATTTGCTGATAGGTCCTTAATTTTTTTCATTAATGGTCCTTAAAAGTACTTAATTTCCATGTGCAGAAACATGTATGAATCATGTGTGAAAGAACTGATGTTAGATTTACCATTCTTATATTTCTTTTCTGAAGCACATCTAGGATGAATGTTTGCTGGTGGCAGTTAATCCTGTTCAGCATTTTGTATTAGCAAATATTATATTTTAAAAAAATTTCAACACTTTAAGAGGAGTTTAAAAGTAAAAGCAATATATATATATATATATATATACTCATTGGGAAATTATGCCATTGCTGAAAGGGGAATCTGAATCTCCAGATTATCTGACTGATATGCTGCTTATTGCAGTACAGGTAGGTATGTTATGAATGATTTTAATTCTTTACAAATAGATAAATAATGTTTTAAGCACAAATGAATGTCTATAGATCAAACTCAAACATGTCCATTCAATCGTACTAAACACTATGTCAATGTATATTATATTCAATAAACTTGGTGGACTCTGAAGTATCAGTAAATTACATAACAGTGCTATGCTATTCATACTTTCAAATAGCTGACAAAATTAAAATTTTAATTGTAAAGAAAAAGTGTTAAGCTGTTAATGCCAGAAAGAGCTAAACTTTGTCCTATAAAGGTCAATAATAATATCCAGTCATGCATAACACACTTATAAGAATGCATGTATAACTTTAGAATGTTTTAAACTTCGTTAAAAATGGAATGCAAAGTTATCCTGATGTTCGAGAAAAATTATTCTCATTGTAACATTTGTTCTGCACGTTGAAAATTTTCAGCTTTACTTTCTATTGAATTAAAATTAATAAGTGTATCTACTCCTCTACAGTTTTATCAGTTCATCTTTGGAAGCAAGAAAAACAATTATAAATAAATCTGAATCAATTTCAAAGAGTAAATAGCTCAGAATGATTTGAAGATTTTACTAATAATTGCAAAAACATGATGTTGCTTGTAAGAAAGAGACTATTGGAAAAACTTATTAGAATTACAAGATGAGGAAGATAAATGAATTGTTGATGAATTAGAATGGTTATGAAAAAATATCTGGAATTATATAGAATTTTATAAATATATATAAAATAAGGAAGAAAAAATGAATGCAGGCTGTTATCTCCATTATATGTCTCTTATTTAGCCATTCACAAAAACATATCAGAGTACATGCTGTGTTAATTCTTTCAGAAATAATTTGCAGGAAAATATTGACATATAAGTGCATGCATATTTAATACGTTAATTAAGCATTTTAGTATCGAATTCTGAAAACTGATGTTGCTTTGTTCAAAAGATTGGCTTGGTATTGTTTTGAAATGTGCGGTAAGAAACTTTCCCGCAAGGTGGGTTTAGGGTCGCCATATTTGCCAAGAAAATTAGTGATATGTCATAGACGGATGGACGAATTCTTACTGGTTTGGCCCAGAATGTTCTCGAGCACAAGCCAAAAGCTATATAAACCCTGCTGGTATGCAGTGAGTGAGTCAGTCAGTCAGTGCCTAGTCCATCGAGCTGGTCGTCGGCTGTATTGCGAGTTGGTGCATCGTTGAGGCTATCAAGTGTATTGTCTAGTGCTTGGCGAGCTGTACTGTAGGGAATCTCAAGAGTACGTAGAGTTTCGAGAACAACTGAACCGAGTCAAGAGCTGTACTCTGGTGCTTTGCCGTGAAGCTGTCTTCACCGTTATAGCCTGAAGCTGTGCTGCTGATTGTTTCGGCGTGTTTGCCATTTCGATGATTGTAAATGTGTTTTTGGAGCTGTCCTGAGTAATACTGGCTATTAAATTGTGTTTTGATACTTCATCAAGTACTGTCATCGTTATTCATTCCAAATCCATGAACCTGTATGTAAGAAAAACGTAACAATATTTTATGAACAACAAATACACAGTTAACAAGATTATTACATAGAATGATGAGCAACAAAAATGCAAGGTATTCAAATAATAAATTTTAAAAAGAAAATTTAAATGCCTTGCAACTCATCTTTGTAACATTATATATTTAAATAACAAAGATACGTACTTTGCTGTATCATTTTTTAAGTTTTAAAATCTGTATATGAGTTGTGCATAAAAAGTCTTGTCTTACGAATTTCTATGAATTTTAGTACTGTTTAAAACCATTTTCTGCTAAGTAGGGTAGTTATATAATTGGACTAATGTGTTAAATTTCAAATGCATAGCTGACCCTTCTTTTTTTCTGCAGCTAAGTAGTATTTAGTGCAGTATTTTACTTTCTACTAATTATTTCATTCTAAGTTTTTAGAAAGTTATTATTTGTCTAGGAAATTGTATAAAAGTATCTTCAGCATATTTGGTTTCATTACTCATCAAGTTCCTTTTCACCCACCAGAGCCAGGGTGGTAAAAATGATGAACAATGATAGTTCTGACCTGGATTCGATTCCAGGTGAACAGGCTGGCTGCATGGGCATGTTCATGGTTTTCACCATGTGTAATGTGTATACAAGCCAGTTTTTCTTAGAAAGTGCTACATAAAGGCATCCCTTCCCTTAGGCAGGTAGCTCTAGTATGCTTTGGCGTAATCAACTAAACCAAACCAACCAAGTTTTTTTGTTAATCATTAATATCGGAAAAGGAAAAGAGTGCAAAAGTATTCTCAATATATTTGGTTTCGTTACTCATCAGGACTTTTGTCATCAAAGTCATATTAACATTAAAGGTGCATGTAAGATCATCTAGTTGAATATTCCATTTATAAATTTGTGTATTAAAATTCTGTGCCAAAAAGTCATCTTTATCATAAATATGCATTAAAAGAACTTTTAAGAAGAATGCATTCTTTCTGATTCTTTTATGCCCTCATATTTATAGCTCATTTTTTATTTTTTAATTAATAGGTTATTAGTTCTATTTCCCCCTGAATTTTCCTTCAAAAGTATATATGTATAATGTAATGCAGCCATTTACTTTAAATATATAAAATTTGTAATAATTTTAGGAAATTAATGAAAATTTGTGGATCTTTTATTCCATAGGTAGCTCCATATTTAAACTCTGATGATGCAGATTTAAAATCTGAAGCTATAAAAGCTCTTTCTTTATGCTGCTTGCATAGTCTAGAAGAAGCACAATATTCTTGGCCTTTTTTCATGGAAGTGAGTGAAAAACTAATAATTTTACAAAAAATTGGAAATACTGCAAATTTTAACAATTTTTGGCAAAAAGGAAAAGTATTTAGCCTTATTAAAATGTAATTATGTGTTTAATGTATCTTTGCCCACTTGTTCCAGAAGTTTTTTTTTTTTTTTTTTTTTTTTTTTTTTTTTAAATTTTCAGCTAGTTCCTTTAAAATCCACTAATAAATTTAAATACTTTCAGGAAATTCGTGCAAAATCTTCTAACATTAGAAGTGTGCTTTTGAAGGGTATCTTTGACATTCTGAAGTGCCATGGACAAAATGTATTTTGTGAAGCCGAAGATAGGGAAGTGACATTCATTGACTTTTTAGATGATATATTATCACAGTCAAGGGTAAATGTATATCTGTATCTTATCTATATCTGTTCATAAACTTTACTGAAATATTTCTATTTTATTCATTTTTTGTACTCTGTCAATCCTGAATTTCATTCACTTTTTTTTTTTTTTTTCCATATAATGCTTCATAATTTAATTCATGAGTTGTGGTTTCCCCTCCCAATAAGGCCAAATTATTTTTACTAATATTTAATATTGAATAGTAGTGAGATAAAAAGAATTTTATTAATAACAATCAATTTTGCTTAATGTGGTTACATGTTTTTTTAGTAATTAATAAAGACACAACTTTGCCATTTTTATTCTTTCACATCCTCTCTCTTCCCTCTTCCTCCATTTCCAACAAGATTAAATATCTTAGAATGAACAGTTCATTCTTTGACTTATAAGAAATAGACTGGAAGCAGCCAGTTTTATATATATATATATATATAGATTAATGAATAATTAAGCTTAAAACAGCACTCCAAATAATGATTATTGGGGAAGTTAAACAACAAGAATCAGCATAATATTTGTAAATTTTGCAGGACTAGTTGTAGAGACATTAGGTTAATTGGAAGCAGAAAAGATGAAAAATATGCAACTGCCTTCGCCAGGAATCGAACCACGGACCTCTGGAATACCGGCCCAGTGTGCAGAACCACTACACCACGAAGGACGCTAGGAAAGTGAGAGAAATACCTTATATACTCCCCTTTTTAAAGGGTGACTAGGAACCTAGTCGCCAAATCCTGGGTGTGGAGAATCATCATCCACAACCCTTTTAGTTCGGGCACCACTGTAGAGACATTAGGTTAATTGGAAGCAGAAAAGATGAAAAATATGCAACCGCCTTTGCGGGGAATCGGAAACCATGAACCTCGGAAATACCGACCCAAGTGTTGCTGAACCACTACACCACAAAGGATGCTAGGAAAGTGGGAGAAATACCTTATATAGTTTCAATGATTCTGTAGTTAAACCATCAAAACTAGTCCTGCAAAATTTACAAATATTACACTGATTTTTGTTGTTTGATTTCTCCTAATGTATAATCTAAATTGCATCTTTTTACTGTAAAAAGTTATTTTAATACAAGCAGCTGATTCGAAAAATGTCTGCATCATAAAAAAAAATACTGAAAGTATTAAATATTAATAAAATGAAACTTGATCATAAGATTTTAATTTTGCAGTTCAATTAATTAATGAAACAATATTATAAAGCTACTGTTTACCTCAATTTGTGTTTGCTACATAGAGTGTCTCGAAAACTACAAATTTTAAGAGGGATAAAGAGCATCAATATGAACCATATTCATATAGGAAAGAATGGCTGTACATGCCATCTATAGAAGATGGGAAAAAAAGAACAACATACATAAATAAAAAATGCTCTATTAAATTAAACTTAATATAGCTACTGGTAGAAACAGAATATAGTTTTACAAGAGTGGTTTAAAGTTCCAACTATTCACAGTGATGCACTGATGCTACATGGATTGCCAAACATTTTCAAAGGTAACTGGAACTTCATAGATATTACTAAGCATTCATCCATTATCATCAGCTAACCCATAAAAGAAGTGATGATTTCCCATTCAGTGTTAATTAAACAATGCATGTCCCCTGTACAGTCTTGCAAGCTTTCTGGAGTGTTGATGTACAACTCCAATTATTCATTTCTGATCTTTCCTTTTTGTGTGAACATGGTTTATATCAATGTATACTATTTTCTCCTCAAAGTGTTTACATTGAGTTTTGAGACATCCTATAGATATATATTTTAATATTTTAAAATTTTTCGTGTACTTTAAAGTTTCTTGGTTACTAGCTGAGAAGCAGCTACTTAAACACTGCTTTGCGTGGGTATGAACAAAGCTTGAAAGATGAGATGTGTAACATATATAGCACTTAATCTTAGTTTATTTTGAAGTTGGCTAATTTGGTTTAAAAAATGTTGAGATTTGAGAAAATTATGTTATTTATTATAGGTGTGATTTTACTTCTATAGATGGAGAGAGCAATGCTACAAAATTATGCACCAAAAATTGTAAAATACATTAAAACCTCCATCTATCATTTGTATCATTAGTACAACATTACCTTTGTGCATGTATCTTCTGCCAATTTTGGTCCTAAGAAAAGTTCTATACAAATAATGTTTCTTCCTGCATCTGTTAATCTCTGAACAAAGTCAAATTATTTGCAAATCATCTTCCCAATGCAGCATTTCTCATTTGGATCATTTGGGGGGAAGGGGAGAAAAAATTAAAATTATTATCTTAACTTCTCTCTGGACTATAACAGCAACATAGTAATGCAGCAGTGCTTTGCACATGGCCTTCAGAATCATGTTGCATATATAAATATTTCATTGCAGCTTGCATTCATTTCAGCTGTGTCAGCTCTCATTAGTCTATTCTTGTTAGTTTTCAAGGATTTTAGGTTTAGTTTTGAAGCTGACACTACAGGGAGTGTAAAAACAAACAAGAACTAGTTAAGAGCTTTACTACTTAAATTTTTCTTTATTAATAATTCCTCTATTCTAATTTTAGGATGAAACTGAAGAAAGAGACATTATAGTGAAAGGTATCTTGAAAATGTACACAGCCCATCATATATGGTCACCTCGTGTGTTATCAAAATTAATGATGCTGTTGTATCATCCTGATGAGAATTATTCTGCAAGAAAATATGTTAATTGTTTTCTACAAACCTATGGACATTCAAGGTTATTTTTTAATAATATACTTCTGTTAAAAATAGTCAATATTTTGATTTAGCAGAGAAAATTTTAAAAATTATCTTTTTAAAAGGCAATAAAATATCTTTTAAGTTAAACTGAACACATTTTTCATTTCTTTAGAATTATGTTAAAGTTTTTTTTTTTTTTTTTTTTTTTTTTTTTTTTTTTTTTTTGTCTTGTCAGGGAAGAAGTTGAATGTCTGGTAAAATCTTTCTTGGCCATAATCAACTTGCTATTTGATTCTGATAAATCTAGTCCATATCACAATATCAGCATCAAAACAACTGCTCTGGAATTGGTAGAATTTTCAAAAGAGTACGAACATTCCGAAGAGTTCTCATTTAAGGTATGTAAAATTGTATCATATTTATGTAGAAGATATATTTGTTAAGTATTCAAATATTTTTGAAAAATAAATTGTGCAAATGCTTATGTATGTATATATATATTGTTTCATAAGAAAAAATAGTAAAGTTAAATTAAATGTAAATAATTCCCTTGCACCATTGTTGCAAAGAATGAAATTTGAATTTAACAAACATTTTCTATTTGTAAAAAGCAAATTTAAAGTTAATTAAAATTTAAACTTTAAATTATGAAATTTTAATTGCAAACAAAAAATGATTAATTATTGCTGTGAACTAATTAAAACATACTATTTACTTGCCTTTTTTTAGTATTATTTATGTATTTTTTTATAGATTGTATATAGTTTATTTTTGATTTACATGCATAATTCATGTTTGGGAAGTTTCCAAATAGGTAAAGGTTTCTAAATTACTCTGGTTTTCTAGAAATTTGATTTTCTACTCTTTTTACGTTGGCAATATTATTTTAATTATTATTTTGATTCTTTATCTCTTTGTTTTCTAAATTTCTCAAAATTCCTTTTTTTTTTTTTTTTTCCACTAATTTTGATTTACTTTCGGTTTTAAATTACTATACCCAAGCCTATATGGATGACGAAACACAAATTGAATAATTAGGTTCGGAGGCAACTTCCCCTTGATAAGATTTGTCTCCTGCCTGCTCAACAATTATTCACTATGCAAATTAATTTAGTCTTAAAATTTTTTTATAAAATTTTTTAGGATTAAAAGATTTTTTGGAATATTATATATTTATTCATGGATTTTGATACTTGCACTTAATTTACATATGCTCTCAGAATTTAAATGATATTGTAGATTAGTTTGCAGCAATAATTAATCATTTTTTGTTTGCAATTAATATTTCATAATTTAAAATTTAAATTTTAATTAACTTTAAATTTGCTTTTTATGAATAGAAAATCTTTGTTAAATTTATACATATAGTGCTTATTTATGTATTTAAAAATTATGTCTATCTCTAGTTGGATGTTTTGATATGGTATCAAATATTTCTATGTTATTAAATCCTAAAATCTCATGTTTCCACATGCAACCATGGCCTTTAAATGTTTTTATAAATTAAACTTGGAATTTGTGGCATATCAAAAGAATACTTCCAATATGAAAAGTTTTACAAGCAATATTGGTAAATAATATTATCTAGTTCATTTAATAATTCACATATTCGCATTGATATCATAAATCATTTCACAGTGAATCTGCCAATTCCTGAAGCAGCTTTAGCTTGGGATTTTACCATGCTGATAAGATTTTTCTTTATAATTATGTTATTTCACATATTTCTCATTACATAATAAATTTTCATGAACATATTTTAGCTGGTTTTATAATTTCAGGATTTTTTTTTTTTTTTTTTTTTTTTTTTTTTTTTTTTTTTTTTTTTAAATGAGAGAACAGATTTACCACTAACCAATCATACTCATAAAACTTATTTGGTGAAATGGGAGTGAAGATGCTACACATTAAAGAAATCTAAGATGTGTAAGAGTGAAAGTAAAGTTCTTGGAAACCTTGAAATGCTCTTTTTCTAGTATTCAGTAATTTAGTTTCTGAATCCCTAAGATTTCTCTTATTCATTATTCCTACATTCATCTCCTACTTTGCCTCCATATGTAAACTTTGGAAAAAGTCTTGTCTGTCAAGTATATTACTTAAGCCACTTGGATGCAAAAGAATTTTTCTTCCAGATGAAGGCAAGTTAACAGTTACCTAAAAATATAAAAATGTGTTAATCATAAATCCTAATGTGGAAAAGCTGACTCGCTTATGAATTGGTCACTGCAGACGGACACATCAGTATCTCTTGAAAGGAGATAATGAGCCTATTTGTGGCACTTGCAACGTTTCCATTTCAGTCAATCACATTTTAACCTGCTGTCCTGCTTTTAGTCAGAAACAAGGATATCATTTTAACTCTATGTTAACTTAACAGATCTCATTGGAAGAAATCCTCACATCAACCTCATAAGATTTTTAAAAGACCATACCAGACTTTTTACCATATGATTTGAAGTGTTTTCCTTTTTATCCTGCTTTACCTGTTGCTAGAGTATTTCTCAAAGTCATTTATTCATGCCTTCATCAGCATTACAGGTTCATTTCAACAATTCATCTGATACAGTGTGTTTGTGCATTTCGAATTTTATTCACCATTCTTCTGGCGCATAACAACCTTCAAGGTTTTCTGCCATAAAAAGTCAACCAACCTAATGTGAAAAAAATTAATGAGTATTCCTTTTTTTAATTGCTCATTTTGCACATTATTTATTTTAAATTATAATGTTGATCTTAATTAAATTAATTCTTGCAAATAAATGTCTTTAATTTAAATAACTGAATGTCGAGAATAATTTTTTTATATGAAATATTCTTTTACATATGCAGTCAAAAGTCTTTAATCCGCACTTGTCGGGACTTCAGCGATTCCGGATTATCGGTTTTTTCGGATTATAGATTGTCAGTTTAAATCTGGTAAGATGACATGCAGAAATTATAAAATTAAAAATATGAAACCGTAATTTATGAAATAAAGAGCAATTATGATCTAAAGGATCTCAAAACTTACAAAAAAAAAGCTTAATATTTATTTGTTTACTTTATTAAACATTTCTTTCAACGCGCGCCGTAAAGCATACATTACGCATAGTCGAAATTAGAAAATTGTAACCAGAAAACTATTTGATGTGTATTCGTGATATTTATAATGATGAGGAATTTGATTTAAATCACATCAGAGACGGAGTACATAGAGATGAAATACTACATTTAGTAAGGAATCATAAGCCGAATAAAATAAAAACATCTGCTCTGAAGATAACGATAGTGCTGACAGATCAACTTCCAGTTCACTGCGAACCACGACGTTTCGCCCACCGCCGCAGAGCAGCGTGAAATTGATAAACAGATTTCGGAATGGTTAGAGAAACAAAGGATTTACACGTGCGCATAATACATATAAACGTGTTATGTGCATGCACAAACGCATATGCGCTTGCATAAAGGTATTATGCACATGCGCAGAAAGTTTATAGCTTTGAGGTCCGGATTAAAGACTTAGAAAAAGTTGCTTAGATACTGTAGTTCCGTGAAAGTATTAACATAAGCAAAATAAAGTGCAATGAAATGTGTAAAAAAGATTAAATAAACAATATAAACACTTGAATATTTACAAATAAAATTCAATACTAATTGTAAGCAATATGCTGATCAAAATAAGGTATATTTTAAACATTAGAATTAAAGTGTGACAAAAGACTTTAGCAAAAATACAAAAACAAAGAAGTGGTAATTGGTAGATTAACCCAATTCGAATTTCATTAAGGCTTATGTTAATATTTTCACGGAACCACAGTGTCTAAGCAACTTTTTAGCGTACGAACTAGGAATTTTCTTTTAAAGTTTTTCTAAATTTTGCAGCTCAATGTGCAAAGTTTTTGACCACATAGGTCTTTTATAGTTTGTTCTCTTTTCTTTAATTATATATATAAAAATTTATTATCCAATTCCATCCATATATTACCAGTTTAGATAGTCAAATCTCTACTGCATATTTCAGAGTTTTGTGAAAAATGTTAAGATGCTGAAGGCATGAAATAATTTAAATCTGTTAAACATTAAAGAAAATAAATTAAATTATTATTTAGTTTACTTTTCATTTCTTTTGAATTCATTCTTTAAAAACAAAAATTTTTTATCTATTAGGAAAAAAGCTATAATTCCTCTTCTTTTTTGTTGAAATAAATTAATATGTTGTCACTAAAACAGAGGATAATTAAAAATTCGCATGCAAATACTTTTCTGCTTTAATCTGATTTTTTAACCCCTTACTCGTCACAAAATTTTGACAAAATTTATTCAAAAATCATCAGTTTTTTTAATTAATGTTTATGAAATTTAAAATAAATTCATATAATATAATAAACACTATATTTTTGTTAAATTTAACAGTTTTTTAAATATGTAAAATTTTTTGTTAACTAACCTTGTTTTACTTTATATTCGGCTTTCCTCTTACACCTAAGCTAGGCAGAAAAGCTTCAATATAGGCTTTTAAAATTACATGTAAATTTTGGAGAGAGAAAAATCACGTACGTTTAAGTAATGCACACTTATTATCTGCAAATGTTGATGCTTTTATTCAACATCAATAATAGCTGTAATATTTTTCAAAAATTTAATATTTTTTCTGGGTATTGTAAAGTTTGAAACATGGTTATGCACAGTCCCACATTACAATCTTTACGATAATACCTCGTTTTTCTCCTAATTAGTTTTCCACTTGCATTCATTCTTCTTTGATGAACATAGTTTACATTCTCTGGAAGGGTTTTCTTTTTTTTCTGTAGGTGGTATAGGTTCCAAAAAATTCTGTTCAAATAAACGATTTGATGGCGTTTCACTCGATGGACGACCTCGTCTTGAAAAATTGATAAAAGTATCTATCTTTTGTATATTCTATCTTTTGTATAATGTAACATGAAAATCTGGAGAGTCAAAGCTCTGCCAGAAAATAAGATTACAGGATCGTTCACATTGAAATAAATGGCTATTCCGCTAAATTGGTGAGGCTTTAAGCAACTAGTTTTTGTTACCAGATTTAGCGAAAAATTGCCAAAAGTCATCGGACTTCGACATTTTGGTCCGGTCTTTGTATAACTGATACCTTATATGTAACTTCAACCGTATAAGCCTTCCAGTAATTCCAAGAAATGGAATATACTAGAGATTTCACAGTGGCCAGGGGAAGACAAGTGAGAGCATAAGCTCAATTTTTCAATTCAGAGCAGACATCGGATTATTGAGATCTTCCTGTGAGGTTCACTTTTTAGATGTGCTGTGCATTTTGATGTGTTTAACATTCTTAGTAGTTTGAAGTGTAGTTTCAAATTGACTTTGTGATACTGAGAAAAGCTGTGCATTTTTTGGGGGGAGTTCCAGAACTGTAAAGTGTTTCTTTTGGTTAAAATAAATTTTACTAAGCTATTATTCATTCTGTGTGCATTCAATCTGTTACAAACCCATAACCTATCCAGCATGATTATTTATAATGTTTTGGTTATTCATTATCACTGCATATCTATTATAAAAGAATAATAGTAAATAATACCGTTAAGGTACTTTTTTGTCAAATATCCTAAACTATAAAATAAGACAAATGTTTGTATACATGCAGCCAATATTTAGATCTTTACTAAATGTTCAGGTTTTTATCTTATGTATAAATTATAATGTCACTGCCATTCTTTTATACAGTTGTCCATATTTTGACATATACTTTATTTGTAGGAAAAATTTCAAGACCTACTTGTTTTAAAATTGACAAAAGGTTTTCTGAAGAAACCTTGGCGACTCTCATCCCTAGATTTATATAATATTTGTAGTGGAATTATGCCAAAAGATCATGAAAAGTTACTCAAGTTGAAAGAAAATATTAAAATAATTATTGAGGTAAGTGTTAAAAAAATTAAAATTCATTGCATTCTTTTTGAAGTAGAAATAGATGATCACTCGACAATAAGCACTAGAGTACAGCTCGGTTGGGTCATTCTCGGAGCTCAACACACTCAAGATAAAACTTGACGAGACACTGACTGACTACATTGTGTGCAGGCAGGGTTTGTATAGCTTTTGGGCTGCCTTCGAGAACATTCTGGTTCAAACTGGTAAGAATTCGTTCTAGAAGGTTCTCCATCCGTCTACGACATATCGCCAGTTTTGTCACCAAATATGGTAACCCTGTCTTCCCTTGCCATTTTCTGACAACCCTAAAGCTGCTTTGCAGTGAAGCTATCTTACCATGGCTGGACATTTTGCAACACTGCCCCCTCCCAAGACTGCACGTCCCGGGCAGTACAATCCTTGGTCAGGAGCCAAATTCGATACAAACAAAACATAATAAAACAAACAAATAACATAACTAAAGAAATAAATATTTACACTGCGTACAAGTTATAGACACAAATAAACCACAAAACAATTTTAAATTATACAAATTAAAGTTCAGAATGAATTTCAGTCTCAGACTTTTCATTAAGTTATATCTGGGTCAAATACTCTCACTGCAATTCTCAGATGTATTTCTGTTTTGCATAACACAGTCTGAAGATTCAGACTTTTCATCCACAGGAAGATCCGAAACTGTTCACCACTCGGTAGTTTATTCGCATCATGTGTACAGTTCACCTCAGTACTTTTAGCAGATGATACATGCTTATTTACCTCTATTTCCTGAAAGCCAGTTCCAATGTTTGCATTAGAGTTAGGAATAGAATCTGATCTTTACAAACAGAAGTATCCTGGTTTAGAATCCAGTTTGTGTCTTTACAACTTGCATTATTAGGCACATACTTAGTTTGTGAACTCTGTATTTTCTTTCCATACTGGAACTTCTGCTTAAGCTCTACATCAGCACTCCCATCTCAACATCACATGCAGTTTCAGATGGTTCAATACTTGCTGACTGCGACTTCGTATCTTCACTACCAGTTTCTAAAGAACGTAACAGTCACATCTTCACTTACTTCAACTTCAGGCACTTGAGAATCAAAAGCTTCCTTCCCATCTCTTATTTCTTCATGCTTTTTTTTTAATCCTGTTAGATGTTTCATCCATCATTTCTTGATCTTTCTCAGACACTTCACTGGCTGCTTCCCTTCATTTCTTCATCCTTTGATTTTCCAGATGCCACTTATGTTATTTTCACATCAGTTATGGGGCCCACCAGCGGCCAAGCGGTAAAGACACTAAACACTGGTAGTTCGGTCCGAAGTTCGAATCCCGTGAACGGGCTAGCTGCATGGGCATTTTCGTTGTTTTCCCTATATGTAACATGTATACGAGCCAGTTTCCCTTAGAAAGACCTTCCCGAAGGTATCCCTCTCTTCAGGCAGGTAGCCATGGTGTGCTTTGCCATAATTGAATAACCCAATCCAATCCAATCCACATCAGTTATGGCTCCTGTTTCTTCTGCAAGATCCACTTTCATCTGCTGGCGTTTCTCTTGCAGCTTTTCTTGGCCGACTCTTATTTCTTCTTAACCACTTTCATCTCTTCCAGTCCAACTTTTATCTCATCATATCCGGCTTTCATTTCAGTCTTCATCTCTTCATATCCAGCTTTTATCTATTCCAGGCGAGCTTTTACAGCTGCTAAGAAGTCCATGAACTTCAGCAGTGTGTCTCAACAAAGTCTCTTAGTCAATCGAAAGTCAAGCAGTGCCTCATCTAGCGAACTGATCGTCAGTCTAGTTGGTTTTCGAAAGTATTGAGAGTCTAAAGAGTCTATCATCAAATGCATTGCAAGTTGTAGCGTAGATAGTCTCGAGAGTACATTGAGTTCCAAGGACAACCGAACAGAGTCGGGAGCTATACTCTGATGCTTTGCCGTGAAATTATCTTCACCATTATAGCCTGAGGCTGTGTTGCTGATTGTTTCAGCATGTAGTAGTTTTCCGACAACTGTAAACATGATATTTCAGCTGTCTTGAGTAATACTAGCTAATAAATTGTGTTTTCATTCTTCATCAAGTGTTGTCGCTAATGACTCCAATGGACCCGTACAAAAACGCGGAGCTGGACATTTCATAACACTATCTTTAAGTATAAAAATAAATATAAGTAATTAAGAATACATAAATGAAAATGATACCATTAATACAATTATTTGAACATTAGTACAGTCTGCAGGGACTGACAAATTTCTGTTGATGGTTTACAATTCATTGATTGTATCCTTATAGAATGTGTGATAAAATGGCAACAGAGAGAAATGATAAAACAACAACAGATTTTCATGGCACCATCTAAAATCTAAATAACTAGCTTTAAATAGGGTAGAATGTGTGGCGAACCAGACAGAGATAAGTAAATCGTGTGTGTGGTCACTACGATGTGTCGGGCAACATGTTTTTGACATCACAGAGCCATAACTTCATGGCTAGATTGTAACGTTCTGCACTGTATCTGTCGCCAAAGCCTCTCAATTTCAGGAGGGGTGAACCAATGATCTGATTTTTTCTCTGGTATCATTCCAGATATAACGAATCAGAGGATGTTAAAAGGAGACGTGGCTAATTCGGTCTGAAGATTTTCGCCATCGGAGTAACATCAGAAAAACACTCCTGAACTCTCAACTAGTAAAACCTTTGTGAGCAGATTCTTCACTCTATGAGGACTATAATTCATTTAAATACTTATCTATGCTATCTATGAATTATATATATGTGTGTGTAAAGAACTTCTCGTAACTGTATTAAATATCTTTTGTGTTTAAAATGCAATTAGAGTTATGCAACCTCACAAACTTGCCCCATAATTATAAGGAGTCGGATATGCTACCTGCCGCCAGTCAATACAGGGTAACTCTAGTTGGTAGCAGTCCTCCCACAGTAGCTACCAAAATGCTCCAAATGCATACTGTATCAATATTAAAAGAAATATTTAAAAAAATCTGAATGGTTTCAGATTTTAAATTATTCTAAAGATTTCAGATTTCTAAAGGGGCGTTTTTTAACGTTTTGTGTGTTACCTTTATTTATTAAATATCATGTTCTTTGCACTTAAACCATAAAATTGAGTTCAATAGCAATGTCGCAAAATAATTTTAGAATGAGCATATCTTTAAAATTTCCGATACACAGTTCCGCGTGCTGGAGATAAAAAGGTTTTTTTTCTCCCCCATAGAGTGTTGCTATTACTCGCTTTGAAATCCTTGAGTTTGTTAATCCAAATTCATTAAAGTTTTACAAAATATGAAATCGATAATAAAACAAATTTCAGATTTGGTCTTCCACATGCCCATATTCGTAGGAGGATTACATCATTCAAAAAGGGGTTATGCCGTGTTTTATCTCATGCGAGAAATATAACATCTACGCAGATTTTATATTATTTTCTTCAAATTAAGAGACTCTAACATTTGGTGGCAACAGTTTGAAAAGTGAAATGGACATTTATAGTGATTCAACGCAAAATCGCAAAATGAAACCAATAGTCCTTCAGGGACAAAGCCCCTTTGGACTAATAAATTACATAATACATTATAATAAATTACACTGAATTATTGTAACAGACTCAGATCAAATTAGAATTATTTAAATTCTACATTAAGAATAAAAATAATATACCAAAAACAAAGGAATACCATTGATTTGTTATTGAAATACCTTTAAAGTTGGCTTTCAGCCTTTAGACTATGCCCGCAGTGAAATCGTTTTACAGGTGAACTCAAAGATCGAGATATTGAGTTCTATGGCAAAAACAGTTATGGACATGCAGAAAAGAACCAGTAAAATGGTTTTTAATTTCAAATTGAAATTTTGCAGATTTGTTTGACAAATCTTCCCCTACTGCTATTTGTCATCAAGTCGCACCCACAGCTTATCTGTGGGACATTATTTTATATATGAATATTTGAAAGTATCCAATAGAGTTATCATTAAAGGAACCAACTGCATACAACATAAAATAGTACAAGATTACGGCAGAAATAAATGAAATTTATCAAAGATACTTTAAATAAACACAGAATAAAGTATTTCTGGCTATGAAATTGTGCTTGAATCATCTAATAATTTAAAGCTTTCCATGCTGTTTACTTTTTTAATTAGTTTTAAAATTGCATTCAGTCAGTATTTGGGAATACTAACAAAGAAATCAAATTTACTTACTGTTTAAACCTTATCAGAAATGTACCTATTTTACATAAATCTGAATCTTAAAATGTCAAATGTATTTTAAGAATGTTAAATTTCTGTTTTTAGTAATAGATATGCAATTGTTTACTTTTGTTACTTAAGTCTCTAAATATGCATTTATTAAAGTTTAAGCTAATTTATTTCATGTTCATATCTAAACCAACTAGTTTATCATAACTTAAGGAAAGTTTTTGTTTTTTAAAATATTTTATATAAATAAGAGATTATTTTCCAGGTTGATATTTTACAATTCTGGGTATTTGAAATTAATTTTATAATGTACAGAAAGTATTCTACAGATTCTCCTTATATGATATTTTGAATAGTTTAATATATAAACCATATTAACATTATAAGCAAATAGTATTTGATTCAATAGTTAACCACTAGTTTACTGTAAATATTTTTGAATGATATATATATATATATATTTTTTTCCCCCTTTCTCCAGAGCCTTCAGTCGGCTATATTTCAACAAACAAATCCCTATTCTAAAAGAAGTATACGATTTTTCTCAAGTTACATAAAAAAGATTCAAGCTGCTATAGATGCAGAGCCTCCAGTGGAAGCAAATGATGATTATACAATAAAATCAGCTATACCTGTAGAACTTCTCATGAATACAGATAATGAAGATCAAGAAGCAGCAGTACCTTCACGGAAATCCTTTACATCAGAAAAGGTATCAGCTATACATACAGAATCTCTTGTGGATACAAATAATGAATGTCAAGCAACATCATTTGCACAGAAATCCAATACATCAGAAAATGAAAGCCAACTTGAAGCAAGAATTCAACATAAAAATTCCACATTTGTGCAAGATCATTCAGCTGCAAGTTCTCCCATATAGTCAGACTTTAAAGCAGCAGTTATAAGCAGTCCTGAATAAAGGAAGGGAACTTTATTTATGTATATAATTTTTAATATTGCCTATTCAAAAGGTTCTAAGGATATTAGGCAAATCATAACTGTATGAAATTAATTTAATATCACTTCTAAGTGAATACTGGTGTCAACTTCATAAATGATATTAAATATATTTTTGTTAAAGCATAAGGTTATTTATTAGTCTCTTTCAAAGCGACATTTTGCGTCAATTCACTCATTCACAATATTATCACCCTGTATTATATTTAAAGAAATTAAATAATGAAGAATCTGCATGAATATATGTATGTTTCTTATACTGTGAAAAAACAACAGTAATCAAATTTTGAATAACGTAATCTTCTGCCCAAACATGGGCACCTGGAACCTCGAATTTTAAATATGTTTTATAGTGTATTTCATATTTTGTAAAACTGTAATGAATTTTTGATTAACAAACTCAATGATTTGAAAGCAAATAATGGCAACACTATTCAGGAAAAAAACATTATCTCCAGGGTGTGAGACTGTCTATCAGAAATTCTAAAGGTTTGCTGTTTTTAAATATCTTTAGCTTAAATGGACATTAGCTCAAATGCTCTCGAAACATGTATATGTGTAAAGGAGAAAAACAAGCCTATTTGTGCATAACCTGAAATCTTTGAGTCCCCCTCAGTTGAAAATTAGTAATAAGTCTAAAAGACTTTTATTGTAATTTTTTTCCAAACCAACAAACTTTATCAGAATTAGAATGTCAGCAAGCATCAAGTTATAGTAACAAGGAAAGACCTTTCTATCAGTTTACATATAAACATATGTATTATTTCTTCTCTGTGCGTCAAAGAAAAATTTAATGAATAAAAGAGAGAAAATGATGTCATGTATTCTCAAGCTTTGTTCCATTTGAAAAATTTTCATTAGTTATTTATTTTTAGTTTTATTTAGTATTTAATTCAACATATTATAATTATGTGGAATATATATGAAGCTGAAAATTTAAAATTTTACTGTCAAAATAAATGTAAAACAGCACAGTTTTTTGCAGTCACCAACTTTTAGTTTTCAGATAGGGAATAAATAATAAATATGAATTTTTCTCTTCGTTATTTTTCCGTTATTTATCTATGTTTTAGTAAATATGGAGGCAACTAAATCTAAATTTTAGTGTTAAGTGTACTTATTTTGTTTGTGAAATATGTTTGTATTTTTATTTTGCCTTACTTCATTCTGTTTAAAAAAAAAAAAAAAAAAAAAAATTCCAGCCCATCAACTGCTTTAATTTGCATCATCTTGCATATGCCCCACATGCAATTTCAGTTTGAGATTACTGCTCTAGATGACTCCAGAACTCACAAAATTGCCGACTTTTTACCATGATGTAACTCGATTATCTTAAATGATAGAAATAGTATTCTAACTATTATTGGTCCTTGTTGCATTTCATGGATCAATTTATCTTTCTCTAGGTCATTGGTTCTCAACCTCTTATGTCCCATGCACCCTTTTTATCATTGCTAGTGATCATGCCTCCTTTTCAAAACTCGAAAAATAAATATACATTTTAAGTCTGAATTATTTTTAATATGTTTTATGAATTAAACAAAAAAGTTCAGAAAATATTGATAAACAACAAAATTTGAATAAAAGTAGTTTTTCATATTCACAGACTATGAATAATTATCAGCTAACTTAGGCTACCAGCATTACCCTTTGAAATTAAGAAATTCTCCCTTAGTAGAAAAACCCACACTGTAGAGCCTGATGTTTAATGACTGCAGTTATGTAACGGTAACTTCGGAGGCTTATGAGGAAATCTAATTTTGAGTGCTTAAGCTTGAAATTCTTTGACTAGTTGAATTTAAAGTTGAACCCTTCCACTATTATGAACAATAAAATAAAGGCTAGCCATGTTTTAAGGATGCATGATTCAAATGACTGAAAGATATGAATAATATTCTCTAAATTTATTTAAAAAATCTGATGTGGACAACATGACTTCCTTGTTTGCCCTACTAAACTATACATACTTTTTTTTTTCATTTAAATTTATTTCCTTGAATTTCAACAAAGATATATTTCTCTTTCAATTAATCTAGTTGACAAGGCAAAAATACGTAAAAATTCAAAGGATCTTCATTAAAAACTGTAAAATGTAGGAAAACACAAAGGCCCAAATACAGTTAAAAACAAATAAAAAATTTTTTAATAATTAACATTAGTTTCTACGCAAAAACAAGCAGTTCGGCTAGTGGGGCAAAAGACTGATTTTTTGGTGCACAAAATTGAAAGTTTACTTTTGGTCACTTTTGGCAAAGAAACACTATTTTTTTTAATTTTGTAATTTAAAAAATAAAAAAATGACTTAAATTTGTGAAGTAACTGCTTGAAAAACCATAATGCAACCACACAACTCAAGCAATTAAAATGAAATTCTAAAAAGAAAAAAAAATGACAAATTTGATTAAAAATTATAATATTAAGTAAAAATATATGCAATAAACAAAAAAGTTACTTTTTTCCCTGCTTGCACACAGTGAAAGGGACTACAAAAATTAGTTGCCATAAACTGAAAAGTTCACTAAATGAATTATTTCTTGACACGAAGTAAAAAAAAAAAGTACACCAGGATTAATTTCCAAATTACTAAAATTTCTTTTTTAGGGGGGTGGGGGACTTCAGTATACATATCTCCCTTCTCCTAAGGATGAGCTATTCGATTCAGATTCCGAGTATTTTCGAAAATTTGAGTCTAAATATATTTTTCATCATTTGTATCCTAATCTAAAAAAATTATTAAATGTTTAAGCAAAAAACTTGGGATATATTTAGTTTACTAATGTAATAAAAGTGCCTAATGAATGTGGCTGTTATCCTTTCAATAGTATCTAAGCTATCAGTATCACCTCATGATGGCTTTGGGCCCCCAGTAGAGCATCCAGGGAATTTTTAAGTAATCTATCTGTAGGGTGTGCTTTCTTGAAAATGAAGCTAAGCCTAGGATCGTTTCGGTAATTCTGGGTATTGTGCATTTCTACCAATTTGTGATATTGTATATAAATGTCAGAATGCACATGTTGTTGTGAAATTGTTAATCAGTTGAAATATTTAGCCAAGGTTGTTGAATATTGAAATATTAAATGAAATTTGAACTGTTTTACTCAAATATCTTTGCCAAATTACAGTACTGTTAGAACATGAAACATGGAAACTCAATTATGCTTTCTCCAATACGTATCTTCTGACTGCTAGCTAAGCATGCTACTAGCTACACAACAAGAATGCATATAAAGGTATGCAATAATTCCTTACATTCTTCTCCACTTAAAGAGTGGGTGAGAAGAGAACAAAATTAAGTCAATCAAATCCAAGTGATGAATTATCACACAACACATTTTGGTTGGGTACCACAGTAAAGCTATTTGAGTATTCTTTCAAAGCAAAAAACATGAAAAATCGACTTGTTTTTGCCAATATTTGAACCAAAAATTTTCCATTCGCCAGTCAGACATGCTATCAGTTACATCGCAGAGGAAATTTGATGACTGTTTCTAACATTAATCTTATGATTCAATAAATTTACTTATGCACTTCATTTTCCAAATTTCATCTAACTTTTTAATAAATTAGTTGTATTTTTAAAAATTCTTACACTAAAGGCATATTTCAACCTTTTGCTTTATTTAAAAGCTTTTAACATTTTTTTAAGTATTTAAGAATTTGATATTAAAAAAGTATTTTCAACATTCGGATTAGAGGAAATCCAAGACTTGACCTCTATTTTTTCCATACCTATGCATATTCACAATGCAGCAAGATTTGAGTTACATCATAGCATCACAACTGTAATTTTTTTTAAAAAAAGCATTCAAGGTTAGCAACATTGAAAAATGTGTGATACTGTCAGAATGAAATTTGCTTTCCCAATATCAATTTCATAATGAAAATTCCAATTAAAAGAATAAAACGAAATTTCATGAGCTACGAAAGAACTATTGTATTTTCTCATGCATGTTCTCATAGTATAATTTTTCTTGGGGTGTCTTGTTATTGGAAATTCTTTTGATATATTCATTATTTAACATAAGCTAGAGGATTCACTTAAAATCAAATGGAAATCAACATACAAATCATATTTTCCATCCTTAATTTTTTTTAAAGAAAAACAAGCTAGAAGCCTTCAGAGCGTAAAGGCAATTGTCATAGTCAAGCTAGATTAGTAAAATCCATTAACAAAACTTTCAGTATTAAAACAAGTGTAAAATTGAAGCAGAATTCTTGTGTACTTTGCCAATTACCACACATTTTAAATAAATGCGAGAAATTTCTTAAAATGAATACTGATGATGGAACTTCGTATGAAAAACAAACCTTTGTTTTAATTGTGCAAGACCAAATCATAGTGTTTCCTCATGCCAATTCACTACATCTTGCAGGGCATGTAAACAGAAACAACACACAATTCTTCACACATTTTGAGCAGATAAAAAAAACATTTATTTCACAGGGAATGCAAAGAATTCTAATTTCATTTTGCTTGCAACAGCTGTTATAAGAGTGCAGAATAGTCAAAGATGGTTTCTTGATTGCCGAGCTTTAATTGATAATGTTTCTCAAACATCTGTAATCACTGAATCATGCAATCGAGTAAGGCTTTCATTTCAAAAATCTGAACACACTATTCTAGGATGTGAAAACACTGTTGCTGTATGTTCTATGAAAGTAGTTAGTTTAAATTTTACTCATTTTAATAATGAGAACTTCTTTAATGTTGTACTAGTCAAAAAGCTGATGCCAGAATTTGATGTATCAGAATACATTTGGCCTCATCTAAAAGGATTACGACTGGCAGATGCTTCTTTTTACATAAGGAGAATTGGCATAATTCTGGGTGTAGATATATTCTTAAACTTAATTCAAATTGGAGAGATAGAGGGAAATCGAAACTAGCCACCTGCTCTAAATTAAAAATTGCATTGGCTCATCTCAGGAATGATGGCCGTTTACAAACGAATTTAGAATTCCTCAATCAGTTTTCAAGCTTTCGTAAACATTAAAAACTTGATGAAAAAATTCTGGGAACTCGGTCAGTTTCAGATGTGAGTATACTGAATGAAGAAGAGCAAGATGTCAAAGCATTTTATTTAAATCACACTAGTCAAAATTCTAATAGCAGATATGTTCTCAAT